TGTTTTGTGGTGTGGGGCGAGGGCGTGTTGCCCACCCCCCCCCCCTGCCGCTGCTCTGGTGACAGGGGAAGAGTAGGGGTTTCCCTACCGTTGTTAGCTCGCAGCTAGATATGCTTCAGAAAATAGGCGGTTACTGAAAAAATGCAGGTACGGGCTCAACAGAAACAGTGTACGTGGTTTGCAAAGCTCCTGCTTGACCTTAAAGCTTTTTTATTAATATGGGGTAAGGATGTTATAATAATCTTGCACAGCTTTACCCCATCGGCAGGAAGACTTGTATTAAGGGAACTAGGAAAAAATGTAAATCTATTCAAGGGACTCATGTCTGAAGACTTACAGAGGAAGATGGTATAACTGTGCCTGTAAGGGCAGAGGAAAAGACCAGCTAATACCTTTGGTTTGTCAACTGGCAGTCAAGTGAAGTTGGGAAAATACTGTTTATGATACATCACTAGTAGCAGGAGAATAAAAGTTCAATGAAGTAAATTAAAGTTTAAAGCAGGAAGAATGCGCAAACAGAGCTCTAGAGAACTATGGAATGTCCACTAAGCTGAGCAGTGTATTGTCTACGAGACAGATCAGGCTATTCAGTGAAGTGTCAAGCAATAAATCGCACATTTCTGATGTACGTTGTGTGATCTGTGTTCTATTGTGTGGAAAAACAAGGTGTTAAAGTAGCAAGCACCGCAGTAAAATAATCCCTTTTTTGGGGTAAACAGAGAAGTGGGAGAGTTCACAAATGTGGAAGAAGTCTAGATTTTTTTTTAAGATCTCTTACAGTTGCTAGCTCAGTCTGCTAATGTTAAAACATATTATTACACATAGGTTTCACACTTACAGTTTGATTTCTTAAAAAAATGGTAAGAATCAATTAGCAACCCAGAAAAAGGAACAATGTTTCTGGAGAAGAAAGAAGACGAAATCCCAAGTGGTCTAAATACAAAAGGACTAAACAAAAGCTTTTGTGAGATTCCAGTTAATGATGCCAGGAAAGACCCATTGCATTCATCAGAGAATCCTAAAGTAGCTGATGTAACTATGAAAAGTTTGAGTGGTATTTCACATGAAGTTCCTAAAGCAGCTGGCAATGAGGAAAGCCATAAAATGACTGAAAATAGATCAAGAAGTGATTTACCTGAAAAAAGGTATGAATGTGAATTCTCAGCTGAGATAAACACTGCCACGATGCCGCAAGGTGTCTCTGAAACAGGTGTGAGAAAACACATACTACTTACATCACCTGAAAAAGATAACTGGAGAACTAAACCAAATCCTTTCAGAAGCTGCCAATGCAAATGCCAGACCAGACATACTACCATCAGCAATGAATCCTGAAAGCAAAGAAAATGGATGAACATACATGTTGCTTGAAGAAAAAGCTGAGCATTTCACACTTGGACTAGATGATGAAGGATTAGGGGGCATGCCTCTGCTCGCTTTTGAAAACCAAAATTTAAAATATTTGCTCTTACACAACAATGAAACAAAAAACACTGCATTCAAATATAGGTGATCTGACTAATCTGGAAATCATGTTATTTGAAAGAAATACACTGACGCTGTTGCCACCAGAAATATACTTACTTCATAAACTGACAGTACTGAATGTCAGTCACAACCTGTTACCTATCTGGTCTCCCTAAAGAATTGTCAAAGCTTGTTAATATTAAGGAACTCAATCACAACAACACTGATGAATTTCCTTTTGCATTGGAAAGCCTTGAAACTTTAGAGCTTGCAGGCAACAAGCTAAAAACTTTATGAGATACCATAGGTGACATGAAAAATTTGAAGGTACTCAACATTGATTCCACTCAAATCTCAATATTCTCAAGGGTTCTCTGCTATCTTCCTCATCTAGTAAAACTCAGCATATGTGAGAACTTGATTCAGAGTTTACCAAAGGATATTAAAGAGCTTAAGAAACTACAAGATTTTTCAATTAGTAACAATAAGCTTATATTTTTGCCTGTGCAGCTTTCCCAGTTGAAAAAACTAAAAGTACTCAGAGCTGATGATAACAAATTGGAGGTTCTTTCAGATACAGTGGAGTATTTATGAAACCTTAGTTTTTGAATGTTGCAAATTTATTCAAAAGCATTACAGATAATCTTTGCAACTGTACCATGTTGAAACATCTCATTAGACATAGTAATCAATTAACTCAGCTTCCTGCTAAGATTCACAGACTTAAATATTTAAAGGAGTTTTCACTAAGTAGAAAACAACTGGACTCACTGGGTGAACAAATACCGCATTTAAAAGACCTCTCCAAAATAGAGCTTTCTGGAAATGCATTAAGATACATTCCTGTTGAATTAAAAAATTGTATACGGATAACCGAAGCTGACCTCAGCAATAATAAGCTCTCTCAGTTTCCAAATGCATTGTGTGCACTATTTGATCTTAAACCCTTAAATCTTACTGGCAACTCTATTTCAGAAATAATACCTGGAATTTCTGACATTAAAGAGTTGGAGCAGCTAGAGTTAAAGAAAAACATTTTCTGCATGCTTGTGCAGCCTTTCAAAATGAGGTTACTTGGATGTAAGCGAGAATGAAATCAATAATGGTATGCCAGCACTGGTGTCCAAGATGAAGGCTCTCCAGGTACTGCTGTTACACCATTATCACTTTGACTCATTTCCTGAAGAACTGTGTTCTTCAAAATGTTTGAAAACACGTGACATTTCAGATAATCAGATAAAGAGTATTCCTTTACAGATTAGCAGTCTGGAAGTGATCAAAGACCTAAATGTACCAAACAACTAGTTTGCATCTTTTCCTTCTGATACATGTCATCTTTCTTCGCTGGAGACATTGACAGTGTGACAAATGAATAGGTGGAAGGTAAGAGAACATTTCCTTGTGTTGCACAGATTGTTGTGCTGCAAAATTATTATCAATAGACTTCCTCCTAAAAGATGTAAAAGCTCCTGTGTTTGAATACATCTAGAGTAAATGAAGAGCAGAAAAATAGCCCCTAAAGAGGCAAAAACGTGTACGTATTTACCTATTTTTAATACCATAACTGGACAAAAATCTATTAGGATACACGTTTAATTAGAAATACTAGATCTGAACCTCACTTTATATAGTGTTACTGAGGTATATCTTGAGGTGATATTTTGATAATTGGATTGATCTGAAATAGACCATCTATTTTTTTATTTTTCTAGTACTATTAGGAATGTAGGTGTTTTCCATCCCAACGGATGTCAAGAGGCAAAATGACTAGCTGGAAGTTGGTAGATAAGCCTGCCTCCAAGATTCCTCTCTGTGAAATGAACAAATCCTTCCAACTTGTGTCATACTTCTTAAAATTAGTTGGTCATTAGACTTTCACAAAGTCAAACAAGAAAAGCTATATTGGATCCCTGATTTCTTATAGCAGAGAAAAACACCTCACATTTCTAAAATCCAAAGTTTAATTTCTTTTATTTTTTAATACTAAGGGACAAAGCAAAACAATCTCCTGATGAGTTAGGCATTTAAAATTCTCCTTTCACCAGAATTTGCAAAATCAGTATTTCATACCTGATTTCAGAAAAGGCTCATATTTCTTAGTATGATTTCAGATGTGGTTATGATCCTTTCTAAGGGCTGGTTTTCTTCAGACCAGGAGCAAAAAGTATGCGATCTTATGTCCACTTCTCGAAGAGCTTTATTTTCCACAATAATTGGACAACAGTTGAAGTCCCAAAATCAGAAAAGACCAAAGTAAGAACAGAACCAAAAAGAAGAAAATGGTGTGTTTAAATTCCTTGTGGCTGAAGAAAACAGAAAATAAAATTAGAGTGTTCTGAGAGGGTAAAATTTTTCATTAATGATAACAATGACCAAAAGAACTTGTAGAGCTCCAGCTGTGGAGGTATTATTCTACTGCATGTTTTTTATTGCCTTTCTGTTGTCGTGTCTAAAAAGCTTCCCTGCAAATTTCTGTGCCCAGCATTCGTATTTTTATTGGAAAATACCAAATTAGCTTCCACTAGAATCAAAGGTCAGAAGCTTTTATTGTTGGAATAAAATTATGGGATCTTATTTTGCCTGCAGGAAAGTTACCTTTTAAACTTTTTGCAGAAGAGAAAGAGTTGTATCCAAATAAATGCATTGCTTTATTTCTTTATCAGTTAACTAAAATTCCAGAGGAGCAATCTAAACTGGTTTGCCTTGGGGAACTGGACATATCTCACAATGCATTGAATGGAATTCCAGACAGCATAGGGGAACTGGAGTATTTGGTCCATTTAATTGCAAATAATTATATCGGCCAGCTCCCCAAATTTATTACATCACTAAGAAAGCCACAACAGCGTGACCTGAGTGGTATCAGGCATCCAATCCGTTCGTAAAATGTAAGCACTGAACAATTCCCCAGAGTATAAATACATCATGAGATTAAAAAGGTGATGGAGAACACCACTGAGGAAAAGACAGCTTTCCAGTTTTTCACGTATGCTGCAGTGATCTGCCACAGCTTCTAACCAAGCATCCTCTCTTAAATTTAGTATTTTTAATACAGATTTTTAATAAAATCTGTGAAATCCTTTTAAGTGGCACGATTTTTGCAAGTGAGATCGTGAGGCACGTAAAGGCCCGGCACGCACAAAGCATGGATCGCTACAGCAGGTGCCGGGCAGGGTCCCGTGGTTGACGAGACCGACCTTTTTCTGCCGCAAAGCACGCGTGTCTGTGCTCAGCTGTCTGCATGACGCTGCTGGTAGTACAGCCGGTTGTCTAGGGGAGTTCCCGGCGTGGATGACTGTGGGCGGGTTACCTCGGGCAGGCTGTGCCAAATGGATTCTCTGGTATGGGTCATCCTGGCGTGGGTTCTCCTGCCGGTGTGGGTCACCTGGTGTGAATTGTCCAGGGGATTTCCCGGCGTGGATGACTGTGGGCAGGTTACCTCGGGCAGGCTGTGCCAAATGGATTCTCTGGTATGGGTTGGTCATCCTGGCGTGGGTTCTCCTGCCGGTGTGGGTCACCTGGTGTGAATTATCCAGGGCGGACTGTCTGGTGTGGGTCAGCTACCCG